TAATGACTTAATTTGCCTGTAGCTTTATTTTAGATCACTTTTAATGTTACAAGTTTGATATTTATACCAGGTGAGCGATGCAGGCCCATTGGGCCTCTTGTTTGTAAACTAAATCTGTTTTGGGAGACTAAGTATATTTTGTGAACTAACTTTGTTTTGGTAGACTAAGTGTATTTTGTGAAATAACTTTGTTTTGGTAGACTAAGTGTATTTTGTGAACTAAATCTGTTTTGGTAGACTGAGTATATTTTGTGAACTAAATCTGTTTTGTAGACTGAGTATATTTTGTGAACTAACTTTGTTTTGGTAGACTAAGTATATTTTGTGAACTAAATCTGTTTTGGTAGACTGAGTATATTTTGTGAACTAAATCTGGTTTGTAGACGTTTTGGTAGACTGAGTATATTTTGTGACCTAAATCTGTTTTGGTAGACTGAGTATATTTTGTGAACTAAATCTGTTTTAGTAGACTAAGTATATTTTGTGAACTGAATCTGTTTTGGTAGACTGAGTATATTTTGTGAACTAAATCTGTTTTGTAGACGTTTTGGTAGACTGAGTATATTTTGTGAACTAACTTTGTTTTATTTTTGGTAGACTAAGTATATTTGGTGAACTAAATCTGTTTTGGTAGACTAAGTATATTTTGTAAACTAAATCTGTTTTGGTAGACTGAGTATATTTTGTGAACTAACTTTGTTTTATTTTTGGTAGACTAAGTGTATTTTGTGAAATAACTTTGTTTTGGTAGACTAAGTATATTTTGTGAACTAACTTTGTTTTATTTTTGGTAGACTAAGTGTATTTTGTGAAATAACTTTGTTTTGGTAGACTAAGTATATTTTATGAGCTAAATCTGTTTTGGTAGACTGAGTATATTTTGTAAACTAAATCTGTTTTGGTAGACTAAGTATATTTTGTAAACTAAATCTGTTTTGGTAGACTGAGTATATTTTGTGAACTAAATCTGTTTTGGTAGACTAAGTATATTTTGTGAGCTAAATCTGTTTTGGTAGACTGAGTATATTTTGTAAACTAAATCTGTTTTGGTAGACTAAGTATATTTTGTGAACTAACTTTGTTTTTGTAGACTAAGTATATTTTGTGAACTAACTTTGTTTTGGTAGACTAAGTATATTTTGTGAACTGAATCTGTTTTGGTAGACTAAGTATATTTTGTTAACTAAATCTGTTTTGGTAGACTAAGTATATTTTGTGAACTAACTTTGTTTTGTAGACTAGGTATATTTTGTGAACTAACTTTGTTTTGTAGACCAAGTATATTTTGTGAACTTACTTTGTTTTGGTAGACTAAGTATATTTTATGTTTTGTTTAGCTGTGTTTTCAAGTTCTTGCTGTATTGACCTGATTATTTTACAAAATTGACTTTGAAAATATAATAGATTTCTAAATTGTTTCTATATAACTTTTGAAATGGTATGGGATTAATAGAATCTATCGCTACTGGTTGTGTAAGATAGAGAAATCTCAACCCGAGGACTAAGATTTTTTGTCCAGAACGAGGCTTGCCGAGTTCTGGACAAAAAATCTTAGTCCGAGGGTTGAGATTTCTCTATCTTACAAAACCAGTAGCGATTGATTATTTTTCTCCCATATCTAACAGTATTTTAATGTGAAATAAAGGTAAACATGGACCCAAAACACATACAGGCAATTTGTTGATGGATTGTTGACGTGACGTCATTGTATTGTTGAAGTGACGTCATGCCATTGTTATGAATAGGGGAATCCCCCCGTCTCAACCCTAGGGCGGAGACAGATAAATCTAGCACCGGCAAAACGGGAGATAAATCT